TCTGAGGGGGGCATGGTGTCAGCCCCCCTGTGGACCCCCAGCCCTGCCACCATCCCTGCATGCCTTTGCTTGCTCACCCTGCCAAAGCCCTGCTCCAGCAGCACCTCACTCATGGCTGGGTGCTTCACCGTCCCGTGCAGGCTCCACACCTGCCTGGTGCCCCCGGCCACCCACCCTCGCCTATGCCTCCCTTGGGGCTGCTCACCATTGTTTGTCCCCAGCTCCACCAGTATGGCATGGCCACAAAAACCTGGCACACTGAGCCGCTTCAGAGTGGGGATGCGCCAAGTCCGGGCAAGCCTCTACCCAGCCTGGCTCAGATGCCAACCACGGCACAAGCAGCTCCCGAGCTGAGCCTGGGGCTGTGCTCACCTGGGTGTCCTTGGTGTCACCCCACAGCCGCTCTGCAGCCTCCTGTAGCCTCATGCACTGCTCCTGCAGCTGCCCCACCTGGCCCAGCATCTCCCTGCTGAAATCCAGCCCCTGGGGAGGACAAACGTGGGCCTGGGTGAGAAACAGGGAGGCTGCAGGACCTGGGTGAGGCAGGGAGATATACTTATGGGTGGCCCCAGTGAGTGGCTAGCAAGGACATCCTGAGAGATGCCTCAGTGCATCCCTGGCAAGTGGGGTGTGGGTCTGCAGCCCCCAGACCCTTGAGCAGCCCCCCCCAAGGCCTGGGCAGCTGGGCACCTTCTCTCCTCCGTCCTGCACGTGCCTCATCTCGCCTGGCACCTTCTCCATTGGGGCAGCCATTTCTTCCAAGGTCCCTGAGTGAGCTGAAAATAGACACCAAAGCTTTGCTCCAGGCAGTGCTGGCTCCTGCAGGCCCCCAGCACAGTGCTATCCCAAACCCAGGTGGCTTTATGGCTGCGAGACTCCCCGGCCCTGCTGCCAGCCCCTGGGCATGGCCAGCACCAGGGTACCCAGGGGTGCCACAGAGAGCAGTGACCACATCCCCACCAGCCATGCCAGCGTGGCTGGAAGCGAGGTAGAGGGATGAGGGAGCTGCATCAGCTTGGGGACCCAGATGGGATGGGTCAGTGTAGCCCCTGTCATCCACCAATCCTGGCAAAGGTCTGGTGCCACAACCCAGCATGGTGGCCTGGCATGGTGGGGGTATCAGTGCTCACCATGCTGATGGAGCTGGCTCTCACCGTGGCTGACACAGGTCCCCATGGCTTCATGCTGCTCCAGCAGCCAGCTCAGCCTGCACGGGGCCTCATAGGCTGGCTCCTGCAAGGGCTCGGGGCCAAGCTCCTGGCTGGAGAGCTTCTGAAATGAAACAGCCCCCAAGTTTTTTGGGAGAGAGAAGATCCCCATGCTGTCCTTGGCATTGCCAGTCCCCAGCAAGGGAGCCTGGCAGCTGGGAGCCTGCACGCACCTTGCCACTGGGTGCCCTGCAGAGAGTTCTCCAACACAGCGCAGCAGCATGCCAGGGGAAGGAGCTCAGCTCCCCATGCACCTTTGCCTGTGACCAGGAGAGAAATCAGCCCTCCTGCCCTGCTCCAGGAGCGGAGAGCATGGGCAGCCCCTGGGATGGTGAGGGCAATGCCAAACCTTGCCACCACCCCCAGCCCCGTCCCCAACACTGCAGGTCCCTGGGGGTCTCAAAATCTGGAGGGTATAATCCACCCCTGTGTCTGTGCTTCCATGTCCCAGGGTGATGATGCTCTCCTGGCATTGCAGGAGGGACAAGAGCAGTGGAGGTGGCTGGTGGAAGCCACCAGAATACTGGAGTGCCCAGGGATGGGTGTCCTTGCTCTGGCAGCTGGGAAGGTGACATGGATGCTGCCAGAAGAGCCCTGTGGGGCCAGATGCTTGCCCAGGCAGGTCACTGTTGCCAGGGAAGCCCTTGGGAGGCTTGAGTGCATTTCCCATAAGAATTTGTCAAAGCCTGGCCCTGGAGAGCTTGGGGACAGTCCCTGGGGCTGGATGTGTGCCTGTGTGCCTCTGTGCACAGTGCTGCACATTCCCGCTCCCAGTTCCCTCTGCCGGGGCTCCCCCAACTCACCATTTCGTCCCGGATGCTCTGCAGGAGGTGGCTGTGCTCCTCCTGCCGCACCGACCGCTCCTGCAGCTCCTCCAGACTAGTCTGTTAAACAGAGGCATCAGGGGGTTCAGCATCCACAGGGATTGGGAATGGTGGGGATCAACATCGGCAGGGACAGGCAGGGATTAGCAGCGCCCAGCTCGGGCCGGGGCTGGGCTCCGTGGCTGTGGGCAGCGTGTACCCAAAACCCCTGGGCTCCGGGGCAGATCCCACATGTCCCAGCTTAGCCTTGGGGTGGGAAGGAGCCTGAGCTTGGGTCCTCATTCCTGTCACCCTGTGCCATCTGGCCACCCACACAGGTCCCTGGGGAGCCCAACCACTCTGCCAAGAGCAATCCAGCAACCAGCCCGTCTTCATGCACTTACCTTCTGGAAGTTGTCCTTCAGGAGCTGCAACTCCTCCCGGAAGTCCTTGACAGTGGTTTTCAGGGAGCAGATGGTGGTGAGCATCTCCTGCAGCATGTCCGTGACCTGAAGAACACAGGTTTGGCCAGTGATGCTGGGTCCCCATGGGCTCTGGGGGACGTACAGACAAGGGAGGCTAAGTGGTGTGCAGTGAAGACCCGGGTTTGGGGGTGTCTCTGGGACTCAATGGAGCCATCACAGCATCAGCCACATCTGGCTGGCCCATGGCCATGCCCACAGAGCTCCGCCAAATTGAAACGGAAGATGCTCGAAGGGGACAAGCATCCCAGCTCAAGCTTCCTCACCCTGGCAAAATGCTGCCACCTTTTCCCTTTGCTCTGTGGTTGTGCTCAAAGCCAAGGTCACAACATGTGAGATGGGACCAGCTCAGGGCTGCCAGGTTTCACAAGGGAAGAAGTGTTGGGTTTGCTGCAGGCCAGCCCCATGCTGCTTGTGGAGAGGACAGCTGGGCCACAAGGCCACCACACCTCATCCTTGCGCTGCAATGTGTGGCTTGAGCAAGGAAGACCACTCTCATGTTACATGTTGTGTTTCCAGCTCAGAATCTAAACTTGAACAGCCAAATAACCTGACCTTGTGCCATGCAATGTCTCCCACGGGATCCTGCCTTGGTGTGGGGACAGCCTGCCTGCGAGGCAGCACTGCTGTCACCCACAGCTCAGCCACTCGCTGTGCTGAAGAGAGGAGGAGCCCGACGGGGCTGCTGCTGACCTTCCTGGGGGAGTGGGAGCTGTGTGCTCCAGCCCACAGCCACCCCAGCCCCAGGCACAGCTGGGGGACCCGTGCCAGGGCAGGATGGGACCCAACAGACCTAAATATCAGAGGAAGTACTGGGGGAGCCTCAGGGGCAGGCGAGAAGTGACCAAAACCGCCTTTGGCCCCTAGAGTGTTAAATACTGCTCTTTGATTAGTCCCAAGTGGAGCTGGGGCCACCAGAGCCAGAAAGGTGCCTCTGTGCTTTGCTGGGCTCCCTGATCCTGGGGCAGCAGATGTCACAGCAAGGGCAAGATGTGACATAGGCATGTCACTGCATAGGGCAGGACACTACACTGGGCCAGACGCTGTGTGTGGCAGGATGCTGTGTTGGGTGGGACACTGCGTAGGGTGCAGTGCAAGATGGGGCAGGTCACTGCATGGGCAGGACACTGCGGGGCAGGATGCCACCCGGAGCAGCACATTGCGTAGGGCAGCACGTGGCATAAGCCAGGCCACCATGCAGGGCAAGATGCTTGTGCAGGACAGGACACGATGTAGAGCAGGACACTCTGTAGGGCAGGATGCCACACGGGGCAGGTCGCCACGGCGAGCAGGACCCCGTGCAGGGCAGCACATGGCACAGGGCTGGATGCGGCACGCCCCGCTGTGACACTCGGTAGGGCAGGACCATCGGAGCCAGCGGCCCAGCAGTCGCGATGCAGCAGCCGGGATGGGGGGCCCAGCCGCGGGCGGGCACCATCCAGCC